AGATCGTCTTGAATAAGGCGTGAAACTTGAGTAGCAATAATTAATTTTAAGATAAAAATATATATATATATATATATATATATATATATATATATATATATATATATATATATATATATATATATATATATATATATATTCAATTAAGGTTGTCGTTCCAAAACCTTAAAGGGGCCCTACAGTCATTTTTTAGTCGAAAAGCCGCCTTAAGTATTGTTTACATTTTTTTGTTATTGTCGCTACTTGACATACGCACCACGGCATGCATGCGTCTTCCGGTGTGCGGAAGTACTCATACTCATGGATACTGCATGTAAGATACAGTCAAACCAATCTCCGTGGAGTCCCCTACTCAAGGTGGTTTTTCGACTAAAAAATGACTGTAGGGCCTCTTTAAACTTTAAACGCTGAGCGCGCTAGGGATGACGAGTTTTCACCTATTAGGCTCTTAAACTCAGAAATTGAATTGCCTTTGCAGCAAGTATGTTGTCTGTCGTGAGCGGTGAGTACTAGTCCTCTATATGTCTTAGGTATTCTTGAAAAGCCAAATCAGTTCAAAGTTTATGAGTCTAAATATGCAATAACCCATCACCCCCTTTTTAACAAAGGCTAAGAGCGCCTGCTTGCTGCATAACATTCTGTATCAACAATAAATTATAATTTGAATTCATGATTTCATCATTGTTGAGCCTTTGACGAGACTGCCACCTTTGAAAGTAATATTTTACTCGCTTGTAATGTCATAGACTTATTTCATTTACATATCAAATTAAACTAAAATATTTCGAGAACGAAAAATGACAAGCTAGAAAATTTAACTGTTCACTAATTTATTTCACAGTTTCACGCCTCTTCTGTCTAAAAATGCAGACTTAAATTTCGTTGCCATTAATATTACAGTAAACTCTCTTGTTTTCTTGGACATGCCCATGAGCAAATACCACGTACAGAAGACGAGACTTGTAGACGTCTGATTCAGGCAATTATACGCTGAAGCTAATTAAAAGATATTTTTAAACTACTAAACTTTAGAAATATGTTTATCGGCCGCAATTTGGAGATAAAAAGATAGTCCATATATATCAGCATTTTTTTCGCAATAATTAAGTGTACTTTAATTTTTAAAGATACATTTTTTTATCCTGAAGGCATTGTAATCAACCACAATAAGATTCTTGACCTTGTGGGTTTGCATGGTAAAAATAGATATAATTGTTTTGGGGTCACGTTTATTCCTTCTCCGCGGCTTTGCATGGCGAAGCTTTAGAGTTTAGATCCAATGAGTCCAGTATATTCATGCATTGGTTCTACAGTAATTTAATACACTCGGTCCATGCAGGGTTAGTATACGGATAGGGAGCTATATCACAAAATATAAATATGATGTTTCCACAAATACCAAACAACTATATTTCCATGCAGCATTTGGAATCAAATAGGGCTTTCACGGCGAAATTGGCTATGTTCACGAAATTGAATGTTCACAAAATTGAAGTGTTATACGTATAACATTTCAAATCCTACTATGAGGACTGGACTAGATTTCAAGTTCGCGCAATTTTGATCAAGTCTGAGGCGAAGCCGAGGACTGGATCAAAATGCTCCTCGTCAGTTGAAATCTAGTGCAGTCCGAATAGATGATCATCCAGCTATCGACTAATTTTTTTATCCAGACAAAAAGGAGGAAACCTATCATTATAGCTCAAAAGAGTATCCTAAAATTAGTAAGATTCCAAAATTTGGTTGCGAAATGTTGTAAAATACGAAAAATATAGCCATGTAAAATTAGCAAATTTTGAGCATTTTATTATTACGCACAGAAAAATGCACCATTTTTGAACCGAAAATTGTGCATTTTTCCGCGCGTAATACTAATTAAAACACTATATTATTTTCCGTAGTTGCATTTTGCAACCAAACTTTGCAATTTAACTAATTTTAGGATGCTCTTTTTGTGCTGTAATGATACTGTAGATCGTCTTCCTTGCCTTAGTCGATAGCTGGAATCATTTATAGGAGGATTTCCAATGACATCTCGTACGAATAAATAATTAATTAAAATGAGAGGAATTAATTTTGATCCAGTCCTATAGGACTGGTTCAATATACTTCACCAGTATTATCATGCAAGCAAAATAAAGCAATACGTTTGGCTAATATATTTCAGAAGTAGATTATCTCAAACTCATTAATAATTGAAAAATTGAAAAATTATATAAAATGCATTTCAGCTAAGCGTTGTGGTTTCTGGAGTACAACTTGTATATTGTTAAAATTTTGATTTTTAATTTTAACTTAAATTTAACCTATATTAATTTTAACCTATATTGAAATGTATTTGGCAAAAAGGAAATTGCATGGCCAACGGTTTAGTAGGTTTCATCACATGCAGCATGAAATTTATAGTTTTCTATACAGAGTCCCATAGTATACAGCTAATTCAAAAAAGGTTGTCCTTTGCAAACCATAAATTCTAAACCTTAAACCTTAAACTTTAAGCGTGCAAAGCATAATGGGAGCATCATTTAATCAGTTCAGAAATCATATACGAGGCCCATTTCCTAGAGACATGGTAAATATCTCCTTGCGAGAACAATTCATTCACAAATAGCTGGAATATTCAACTACTAAGCTTGAAACTTGTGCTCCCATTACGCTTTGCGCGCTTAGAGTATAAGGTTTAAGGTTTAGAGTTTACGGCTTGCAAAGGAAAACCATTTTTGAATTGGCTGTATATAATATAATAATACTCACTTCTTTGTCGCCTACATAGTGGATCTGTTTCAACTAAAAAAAGATAATAAATACAATATATTTATATTTAATCAACGATGCGGTATAATTTATCTCAGGGTCGATTCCTCCCAAAGAGTACCATTATAGTTGCACCTTTTGCTGCTGACCCTATGGTTGGGTCTATAAATGTCTAAAATTTACACTCGAAATTTCCATTTACAAAATCCATCAACATTAGTTCAATCACGTGAGATGCCCTAAAATCTATAGCTAATTTTAATAGGCAATTCCAGCTTTTAATTTATGCGCGCAGGGGGTGACGGGAAGTAAGGTATCATATTGCTTATTATGCTGAAAAATTTCAATAAAAACTGTCGAAACAACAGAAATATTTCGATATTTACAAGCATAAGCTATCACACCGTGTTTACACGGCCACCATTTATATTTGTTTCAACATAATCAGCAATATGATTCCTTATACTTCCCATTCCCCCATACACGCATAAACTAAAAGCTGGAATTGCCTATTAGGCTATTACATAGGCGTACGAAACAGGGGGCAACTGCCACCCCCACAATTTTGGAAAACCATGGAATTTCGGGCAAATGCTAGGAGAAATCAAGAAAATTCGGGCAGATTTATAACAAAGTCAGTTAAATTTAGGTAATTTGATTGCAATTCTCCATACAAGTTCGGGCAAACTTTCAAGTGCCCTACCCCCGAAAAGCATCAACCCCGTACGCCTGTGAGTTTACACAGCGAATCCGGTTCTTGGTACGGTATAGACCCATTGCACATGCCGTCACAGCGGCAGTGACGATGTATGTGGAGGACAAATTTATTTAGCAATCTATGCATAATATAACTTCTATAAACAAAGCATATTTGGTAAAACTTAAAACAAAAAAATAAAACAAAAATACTTTTGTAATAAAATGGTTAATTATTTTTTGCACTGTATATGGTTGTTGTACTCGAACAGATATTGTTAGGGAGCATCTGGAGGACTCTCTAAGGATTAGCCTGCGTGGCAGGCGGTATTTCTACAGGCAGCGAAAATTAGGGAGGCAAAGGAAATACCGTCTGCCGCAAAACTAGGGGTTTTTGAATTACCCGTCCGCTGGTAAACGGAAAAAACGGATTGGTTAGTATTTTTTTGTAGTTGTCAATCAGCGGCTAAATTCGGTTAAATGTTAATCATTAACCAAATGTTTTGTTGTTTTGAAACTCCGCGTTTTGAAATTAGTTCACAATCACAAGCAGGCCATGCAGAAATGGAATACCATAAAAAAGAAGCAAATTTTAAAGATACAAGCTGAAACATAACATTCTAAATAGTGTTTTTGATAGCGATTCGAACAAGAATATTTAGCAAAGAAGATACGTCCGAAGGGGCCGAAGTTATGATCGGCGAAAGGTATGGGCTAGTCTATATTTTCGTTCAGATAAATACATGCGTATATTAATTTGATATTATACGATCTCGCTTGACTTTCAAAGGCCACAAATCGCAATAATGTTGACATTTTACTAATTAAAACTATCGATAGAAATTAGGAGATATTTCTTCACTGAATCGAATGGTGAGATTTTCATATAGGCCTATCATGTTCTGAACTAAAGATACTTGATAGATATACGACCTCCTTAGCCTCCTCCGCAGGCATTGCCCTTCGATTATCGGGCAAAATTTCTTGCAGGCAAAAAAATTAATAGTGGCGATGCCTGCCAAAACCCGAAGAATTTGGACCAGCTATGTAACTCTTGTGGACCGACTATGTTGTCCCCACCCCCATGGGATTAATTGTTCATATCAAAACTACTACAAAATGTCAAAAGCTGTGTTGCCCCTACTCCCATAGGATACGATGTTTTTATATTCAGACACAATTCGAAATAATATCGATCGAGAATATCATTTTTATGTTGCAAATTGAAACAAATATGAATGAAACATTGATTATTTTGCAATTACAACGGATGGCCGGAATTTATGAATATTTACGAAGAAAGTGTGAACAGCAAGGTTTACATTGTACAATTAGCAGCTTCAAGGCTACAACATATGGACAAGCAACCATTGTCAATGACAACATTGATCAAGCATGTCATAACCTGCCAGAGAAAATAGTGACATAATTGAACATGGCCAGCATTCTGTTCTGCTGACACTTTCTTTACAATATAACATGTTTTTAATGGATGAAAATGGGATAAAAAAATAAAAGTAGTGTAAACTGTGGTCCATGCTCACAATTTCCCTGTGGTTTATTTTTAAATCACATCGCCTTTTATCAGAAATTGCATTGCAAGTTGCAGATTTACTAGAGGGGGAGGGGGTGTACCCTCCAAGCCCTGACAATAGAGGGTGCAGGGGATGCTTTTTTCGTGATAAAGCAAAAATAATAGAGACAAAATGAAATAGAGTAATTTGAGCAATAACATGATGATAAGCAAACTGTGAACAACAACTACAATTCAAATGTAGTATGTTGATAATAATTTAATAATAATAATAATAATTTATTAATTTATACCGCGCTAAAACTATACAATATTCTAAAGCGCTTAATTACATAAAATAGGAAGCTAATTTTAAAATTTCCCTACGTTATTACTCAACATTTAAGTACTATAAGCATCTATTTAAAAATATTTAAAAACAAGAAATATTATTAATGTACGCATCTCTATACAGAAATGTCTTAAGATTTGTCTTAAAAGAATCCAACGAAGGTGAAAGCCGAATCTCACACGGTACTAAGTTCCATAGAGTAGGTCCTGCTTTCAAAAAGGCACGATCACCAAAAGACTTTCTACGTGTGTTTGGAACATGAAGAAGCCCTAGTTCGTCCGATCTCAAAGAGTAGTTATTACTTTGTTTATAAGTCAAAATGTCACGAATATATTTGGGAGCCAATCCATGTAGAGCTTTATAAACCAACAGTACGATCTTAAATATAACACGGTATTTAACCGGTAACCAATGCAGTCTCATTAATGTAGGTGTAATATGATCAAACTTAGGTACGAGACATACAACACGAGCAGCAGCGTTTATCACTTTCTGCAATCGATTTAATTGATATTTTGGAATTCCATACAGCAAAGAATTGCAATAA